TTCGGGTTAATATTTTTTCAAACAGCCGTTTTTATAGGGCCATATTAACCTGTCAACATATCTTTATAACTAATAATATATCTTCTTCATGATTATTGTTTGAATTTAAAAAAGAATACTTCCAAAATGCTTGTATGAAATAAACATGGTAGATAATTGTCTTAAAACGATTGACCCATGCACAAAATCATAACTGAATGGTTAAAACCCTACTTAAAATAGCAAATAATATTTTGTTTCGAAACATTTTATTCTGTTTACGTACAATATTTATCTATGTTAAATAATATAGTCATTCTATGTTACAACTTTTTCGGGAATCAAACATATAATAATGAATCTAATACAATTTTACTGTTGATCAATTTTATATAAGTATTTCAAAAGATATAGATTTATACCCTTTAATTACTTACTATCTCAAATTCTAAACAGAGCAGATCATTTACGCATAATTTAGTGGTGTAGGAATAAAATGAGGAATATTGTTTCCCATTTCTTTATTAAAATGTACAATTTTTGTGCATGTAAATTTGTTAAATTGTGTTCTTTTTAAACATTTGACTTTACTTTTGTTGATTAAATGATGTTTTTCAATAGCATGAAACTGCCTTTTTACACCTTTGTATGATTTGTATAATAAATAAAGAAATGTACAAGCATTAAGTTTTGATAGATTTTTAATAACAGATTTATTTGTTTTATTTCCAGATTGTATACAGAAGTTCCACTGCTGTTGTTCAGATATTTATTCAGATGAGTTCAGAAATGTGGGATTTTGACATAAATGGCGACTTATACTTTGAGAAGGCAGTGAACGGATTTTTAACAGATTTATATGCTAAATGGAAGGTACTTGATTTTACACCTTTTTATACATGGTCCAAGATGCAGACTTTAAATCTGATTTTTAATAACTTAAATGATATAGACTCACAAGCAAGATAGAAAATACATGTAGATACATTTGTATCCTGAAACTATGAAACATTACAGTATAAACAAAAATATATTCACATCTTTTTCAGTAAAGAAATGATTTTTGTCAGTAGCCGAGTGTCTTTGGGTAAAATAAGATATCATGTTGGATTTTTACATTTCTCAATGAATTTCAGCCAAACCTGCATAGAATTAATATCTCCAGAATAAACTTTTGCAAATAGTTAGATATTGTGATACAATAATTTTTTTGCAGAGTTATGGCCCTTTGTGTATTTTTGTCATGCATGCAATATTAGCAGAAAACCTTGTTGTGTGACATTTTCTTGATATTTATTTGTTTTTTTTTAATAATTTCAGGAACAGTGTTGTCTGCATGATGTAACTATTGTAATGTTTTCAAGAACATTTTATGAGGCCCACTCGAGAGGTTTGTAACTAGCATGTTTAACTAGCATGTTTTACTTAATAAAACTTTGAGCAATCATCTGCTTGATAAAATGATAAAACTGTACCATTTATATATTTCGTGAAACGTGATATGTACAGGATAAAATCTAAATAAACAAAGCAATCTTGTCTTTTTATGCTCCCGAAAAAATTTTGGAGGAGCATATAGTCGTCAGGTTGGCCGTCCGTCAGTACGTACGTACGTCCCGAATTCGTGTCCGGCTCATAACTTTGTTAATTGAAGTCGCATTTTACAACCTTTTCACAGAAATGATCTAAATATTGAGACGACGTGTGGCACGCAGCATTTGTAAATTGAATCATTTTATTTTTCTTTAAATCTCAGTCATTTTTCTCAAGTTTGATTTTCTTGAATTATTTTGGCTCATCTGGAGGCATACAGCTTTAAAGTCACTAACAATGGCTCACTGTGAGTATAAATCACACCAGGGACTTGGTGCATGTTAAAACATTCCTTCATCACACCTACCAAAGAAAATATTAGCCATCACAGTTTACTACTTTTTTTTAGCTCACCTGAGCATATGCTCAGGGTGAGCTATTAGGATCACTCTTTGTCCGTCGTCCGTCGTACGTCGTCCGTCGTACGTCGTCCGTCGTACGTTGTCTGTTCACACTTTTCAAACGACATCTCCTCTGAAACCATAAGGCAGATCATAATGAAACTTCACAGGGATGTTCCTTGTGTGAAGCCTTAACAAAGTTGTTCAAAGAATTCCATTCCATGCAGAACTCTGGTTGCCATGGCAACCAAAAGAAAAAACTTTAAACATCTTCTTCTAGAAAACCCAAGGAGCTAGAGCTTAGATATTTGGCATGAAACATCTTCTAGTGAGTGTCTACCAAGAATGTTCAAATAAAATCCCTGGGGTCAAAATTGGCCCCGCCCCAGGGGGTCATTGATTTTCCTTATATGCATATAGTAAAAACTTAAAAAAATCTTCTTTTAAAGTACCCAAAGAGCTAGAGCTAAGATATTAAGCATGAAACATCTTCTAATGAGTGTCTACCAAGATTGTTCAAATAAAATCCCTGGGGTCAAAATTGGCCCAGCCCCAGGGGGTCATTGATTTTCCCTATATGCATATAGTAAAAACTTAAAAAATCTTCTTCTAAAAAACCCAAATAGCTAGAGCTTAGATATTTGGCATGAAACATGTTCTAATAGATGTCTACCAAGTTTGTTCAAATAAAATCCCTGGGGTCAAATTGACCCCGCCCCAGGGGGTCATTGATTTTCCCTATATGCATTTAGTAAAAACTTAAAAAAGGATTTAGCTCAATACAGGATTGGAGCAGTACCTCTAGACGCTTGCAGAAATCATGATCACAAAATAGACAAATATCGTTTTTTTCGCCGAATTTTACATTTTTCCTTGATTATCGTACTTGATTCGGTGTGAAAAGATGAATTAGACCTGTTAAAGTTCATTCCGTTGGGTAAAAAGACAAGATTTTAGCATTTTATCATTCAAGCGCCTTGTCCGGTATATACCGGAATACGGTATTTAGTGTGGTGCTCCAATCCTTTTTTTAGTCACAGCCCTTAAAAAAAATTCTTTTAAAGAACCCAAAGAGCTAGAGCTAAGATATTTAGCATGAAACATCTTCTAATGAGTGTCTACCAAGTTTGTTCAAATAAAAGCCCTGGAGTCAAAGTTAGCCCCGCCCCAGGGGGTCATTGATTTTCCCTATATGCATATAGTAAAAAACTTAAAAAAATCTTCTTTTAAAGAACCCAAAGAGCTAGAGCTAAGATATTAACATGAAACATCTTCTAATGAGTGTCTACAAGATTGTTCAAATAAAAGCTCTGGGGTCAAAAATTGGTCCCGCCCCAGGGTGTCATTTTATTTAACTATATGTGTATAGTAAAAACTTTAAAAAATGTTCTTTTAAAAAACCCAATGAGCTAGAGCTTAGATGTTCAGCATGAAACATCTTATGGGTGTCTACCAAGTTTTTTCAAAAAAAAGCCTTTGGATTAAAATTGGCCCTGCCAGGGGGTGGGGGGTGGGAAGGTCATTGTTTTTCATTATATGTGTGTAGTTAAAACTTAACATCATGAAACATCTTCTAATGGGTGTCTTCCAAGTTTGTTCAAATAAAAGCCCTGGGGTTTAAACTGGCCCCGCTCCAGGGGCCTATATACAGGTGAGCGACCTCAGGGCCATCATGGCCCTCTTGTTTCAAATTTACAGCCTTGTTTTCAATGAAATGTGTTTAAGTTATAAAGTTTAATATATTAGAAATGTTATTATTTTAGATGAGTTTCCACAGTACATGCAGGAGTGTTTACAACAAGATTACCTGGGGAGATTTTATGAGGACTTTTACAGGTACTGTTAAGCTAATTTAGGTCTCCTTATGATGCTCACAGAAAATTATTAATATGTTGTGGTTTTGTTTTTATGCCACCGCAGCATCTGCGATGCGGTGGCATATAGCGATTCACCTGTGTGTGTGTGTGTTTGTGTGTGTGTTTCTGCGTGTGTTATATAGATTATATAGTGAACTTAAAAAATCTTCTTGTGAAAAACCACTAGTCCAATTTCAACCAAACTTGGCAGGATTGTTCCTTGGGTGAAGGGCTTCCAAAGTTGTTCAAAGAATTTCATTCCATGCAGAAATCTGGTTGCCATGGCAACCAAAAGGAATTATAAAAATAAATTTAAAAAATGTTCTTGTAAAGACCCAAAAGGCCTAGAGCTTAGATATTTTGCATAAGGCATTGTCTGGTAGACCTCTAACAAGATTGTTCAAATTATAGCCCTGGGGTCAAAATTGGCCCCGCCCGGGGGTCATGGATTTTCACTATGTACATATAGTAAAAACTTAAAATACCTTCTTGTAAAAACCCAAAAGGCCTAGAGCTTAGATATTTTGCATAAGGCATCGTCTGGTAGACCCTTACCAAGATTGTTCAAATTATAGCCCTTGGGTCAAAATCGGCCCCGCCCCGAGGTTATTGATTTTCAATATATGTACATATAGTAAAAACTTAAAACACCTTCTGGTAAAGACCCAAAAGGCCTAGAGCTTAGATATTTTGCATGAGGCATTGTCTGGTAGACTTCTACCCAGATTGTTCAAATTATAGCCCTGGGGTCAAAATCGGCCCCGCCCCGGGGGTCATTGGTTTTCCTTATATGTATATAGTAAAAACTTAAAGTAAAAACTTCAAAAAAAATTCTTCTAGCAATTGACAAATGCTAGAGGTTAGATATTTTGCATGAAAAATTGTGTAGTAAACCTCTAGGAAGATTGTTCAAATTATAGCCCTGGGGTCAAAATTGCCCCCGCCCTGGGGGTCATTGATTTCAAAATATACATATAGTAAAAAATCAAAAAAATCTGATTGTCTGAAGGTACAAGGCTTAGAGCTTTAATATTTGTTAAATAATATCATCTAAAGGTACTCTACAAAAGTTATTCAAATTTTGCCTCTTGTGTCAAAATTAGCCCCGCCCCCGGGGGCCATAGGTTTTCCTTATATGTATATAGTAAAAACTTAAAAAATCATCTTCTCTTAATTTACAAAGGCTAGAGTTGAAACATTGTGTAGTGAACCTCTTGCAAGATTGTTCAAATTATAGCCCTGGGGTCAAAATTGGTTCCGCCCCGGGGGTCATTGATTTTCATTATGTACATATAGTGAAAAAATAAAAAATATTTTTGTCTGAAGGTACAAGGCATAGAGCTTTGATGTTTGATATATAATATCATTTATAGGTCCTCTACCAAAGTTGTTCAAATTTTTACCCTGGTGTCAAAATTGGCCCTGCCCAGGGGCAGTGATTCTCATTATGTTCACATAGTAAAACAAATGTTTTCTGAATGGGAGAAAGCTATAGCTTAGATATTTGACTTGAAATGTTGTTTGGTGGACCTGTATCAAAATTGTTTTGAATTAAACCCTTGGGTAAAAATTATGCCTTGCCCAAGGGGACAGTGACCTACTTTCTTGTCCTTTGATGTACAGCAATGACATTTTGACTATGTGCACAGGTTTAGTTGTAAAATTGAACTTTGATATCAGGTGACCTAGATTTTGATGATGTTACCTACTTTCTTGTCCTTTGATGTACAGCTATGAAATTTGAACCATGCGGTGGCATAGCATTTTTCTCAAATGCAATCTTGTTTTATTTCAGCATCTAAATGGTTATTTCTATCAAAATATTTGGAGGATGTTGTTTGAATGTCAAATTGTGTACTTTTCCACCAATTCAAATTCTTTAGTAATTTTTTAGAAGGAATCATGTTTATTAACATTTTTGAGAATAAAAACATCCAAAAAATATCATGATTTTAATACTTATATGTATATTTAAAAAATGACAAATCAATCAGTAAGAAGTGAATTCAATAAATGGTGAACAAAAATAGCATTTTGGATACTGAATAACCTTTCTCCACTAGATTTTCCATCCTAACAAAAGATCAACTTAAAACAAAATATCTTTTTTTTAACCTCAGGTAGGATACTCTTATTCAAAGATTGCTTTACTTTGCATCTGGAAAATCTGCCTTGGTTTTTGCGTGTTTGTTTTTGAATGTGTGTACTGTATTTTGTAGAGTTGTGGTTCAGAATGAGAGATATGAGGAATGGACTGAAACAATCAAACAGCTGAGGAAGATATTCAACGAGTATTCTAAATGGGTCCTTAATTACCACACACTGCGAGGGTACAAAGTTCCCAAGGCATTTAACTCTGCAGCTGCGCAAGGGAATTTTCTTGAGACCCTTAACATGTCTCTTAATTGTAAATATATATTATAAACTATTTAATCAACTCAGAATTGCACAAAGTTTTGATAAATTTCACATGAGTATAGTAAGATTTTTAATATTTTTTAATATTTTATATTAGTTTACAATTTTGTATGTATGATCAGGAAAAGTTAAAGCAGAGACATAGAAAACAGAGAACTTCCAAGCCAGTTTAGATATCATGCATGCTTGCTTAACATAAAACTTGTAGCAAGTAAAACTTATTTACCCGATATCAAATTCAGTACAAGAATACACTTTCTAAAGCTTAAATATTTGTCTATGTCTGCAGGTAAAAAAATTACAGTTAATTGTCATTTTAATAAATGATCAATTTTTGAAGTGAACTACATATTAAGTTTTGTTAAATAACTATGCATATGACGCAAAACAGACTGTTGATATGTTCTGCCATTTTTTTTAAAATGAAAGGCATAGAAAGTTACCAATATTTTAACATGCAGCAAAGATAAAAGATTTAACTCTCAAATGGTGTTTTCTACAAAACGGATTAAATATACATTCATTAAGTTTTAATTGATACAAAACACCTATAAGAGTTGCTTGTCTCTGTTATCTACATCTCTGGGTAAAGTAGTTATCACATTGAACAAATAAATGTTATTTTATTCTAAATCTGAACACACTAAATTTCTTAGATCACTCAGTCTGGACAAAACCATTTATTATTTTTAGGTTAATTTTCATTGTAAGTACTGACTGAAAAATGAACAGTGGAGACCATGATTGGATGGCACGGATGTGCTGGTTGATCTTGGTCTGAATTGGTTGCATGGGTAATTTAAGTTGCCACCAGAAGGTTAAAGGTATTGAGTTACTTCTGAGGGAAAGAAAATTTCTTAAGTCATCCCGCAATTATGAGTACAATTTAAAAGAACTTGATGCAGGACATGTAGAAAAATGTTGCCTGCACATTGGATTTAGAAGCTACTTGTCCTGCAGGACGAGGGACTTTGAAATTTTTTTAAAAGGCCTGCTTCTGTTACAAAAGAATGTTTATTTCTTTCTGCTTTATTTCAGTATTTGAACGTTATTACATGGACCGGAACTTTGACCGAACTGGAAAGGTTGCAGTGGTAATAACGCCTGGGGCGGGAGTATTTGAGGTGGACCGGGAACTTACCAACATAACAAAGCAGAGAACGATAGACTGTGGTTTGTATTTTTGATTTTCACATACACCGGTCCAGGGCTTTTTTTTTTCTTGTTTATAGTAGGGACCATTTAAGGGCTGCTTCCTCAAAGAAAAATTCTTTAAAATCATGCAGTTTTCCCCAAAAAACGAATTGACATGAACTTTTTTCTTCCACTTTTGCAAATATATCATGTAATTTTCCCCAAAAATTAAGGGCTGGGCTGCTTCTTCAACCTATGAAAAAAAAAGCCCTGAGGTCTTATTTTAATTTGTTTGACTCCTTACCTAGATATGTTATCCCCTTAACCCTACTGAATTTATGTAATGAACTTGTCCTGCTTTGAATTTGGAACAGTCCATTCAAAGTTTAAAGGATTTTAATATTTACATACAAAAAATTAGCCACCAACAGTATAGATCCTAGTCAGACTGCACAGATGGGCAAGCTGGCAGGGATCTTTACTCGTGGCACAGGCTAATCAGTTTTGATTCCTGCAGGTTATGGATTTTAAAGACTTCTTATACTATTGTAAGATATTTGTCCGTCCGTCTGATCAGATATTTCTGTATCCAAGTTACATTCACAAATTGTCTTTGAAATCCTAAATCATTAATAATACCAACAGTTTATTACGATATGCATTCCTTAGATTTAGCTTGGAGACAGTTGTGTAACCATGAAGTTATCAAGTCTTACAGAGCGGACAAAATCTTTTTATATTAAATGTTTGAAAATTGCGGAACCAAAAAAAAAAGTTTCAGAATTACAGTCCCATATTAGCACCAATATGAATCAGCTTTTAATGACCTTTATTCTTTTCTAGATATGGATCTTGGATCTTATTTACATTCTTGTTTTCATTTTGTGCCTATTTAAACATTCATAAGAATGATTTCATGCAGTGATCATTGCATTCAACAATTTTTTGTGTCATCTTACTGAAATAAATGCATGTCCATTAAAATAAATTCCCCAGTTTAAAGAATTAAAAATACCGCACCTGATATAATTACTAAATCCAGTACCCATTGTGTGTGGCATGTAATAAGACCTTAGTTAAAAATGTCTTCAAAGGTATATTGCAAGTTGGTCTTTTACCATCTAGAGTTTTGGCTGTAAAAAATAACAGCTTGAATTTGATACATATGAAAATTTGCTTTACCATAATTTTTTGTAACTTGCATCAAAATAATTATGATTGATGTATATATATATTTTTTTAAACACAACCATATTTTTTTTTAATTCTTACAAATTTTAGCTTTTATCTTTAGAAACAATGTTCACGTCACTTAAAAAAGACACTCAAATTTCATTATTTGTTTGGAATGGGATTTGAACCCTAGATTTCTCACATCTTAAGAAAACATCTTACTCTTAGATCATAAGCTTCCAATATAATTATATGGAAAAATCAGAAGCAGACTGAATGATTTTTAGCTCGACTATACGAAGTATATGGAGAGCTGTCCTACTCGCCCCGGCGTCGGCGTCCGCGTCCAGATTTTAGATTAAAGTTTTGGTGCAGTAAAATATTTTTCACTATAACTTTGTCATTTCTTAAGGTATCAACTTCAAACTTCAAATATATGTTTCTTATCATCAACCACATCTTATGTGACAAGGTTCATAACTCTAGCACCAATATTTTCAGATTTATCTCCCCTTGAACTTAGAATTTTCCTTAAAAAATACTATTTTTTACTGATACTTCTTTATTTCTTAAGGGATCAACCTCATACTTCAAATATATGTACCTTATCATCATCACCATCTTATGTGACAAGGTTCATAACTCTAGCACCAATATTTTCAGATTTATCTCCCCTTGAACTTAGAATTTTCCTCAAAAAATAATATTTCTTACTGTTTCTTCTTTATTTCTTAAGGGATCAACCTCATACTTCAAATGTATTTACGTTATCATCATCCCCATCTTATGTGACAAGGTTCATAACTCTAGCACCAATATTTTCAGATTTATCTCCCCTTGAACTTAGAATTTTCCATAAAAAATATTATTTTTTACTGTAACTTATTTATTTCTAAAGGGATCAACTTCATACTTCAAATATATTTACGTTATCATCATCCACATCTTATGTGACAAGGTTCATAACTCTAGCACCAATATTGCAAGAATTATCTCCCCATAAACTTAGATTTATTTACTAGAAAAATGTTATTTTTTATTTTAACTTTTTTACTTTTAAAGGTATCTACCTCAAACTTCAAATACTTATTCCTTATCATCAATTACATTTTATGTGACAATGTTCATAACTCTTGAAGCAATATTTACAGATTTATCTCTCTTTGAACTTAGGATTTTCTTTAAGAAATATAATAACTTCTTTACTTTTTAAGGTATCTACTTCAAACTTCAAATATATATTTCTTATCATTACACAAATGTTGTGTGGCAAGATCCATAACTCTAGCATGACTATTTCTAGAATTATTCCCCTTGATCTTGGAATTTATGTTAACAAATGTTATTTTTTTACTATAACTTAATACATAATTATACATAATTGATTTTTCTTTCATAGTTTTGTCCTCCTTACTGTGTCCAGTATTTTATTAGTCGAGCTTCGCTGTCTCCTGTGACAGCTCTTGTTAATTTAGAATTATATTATGATAGTAAGATTGACAAGTCAAAAGCAGGGAAATGTAAAGTGAGAATGATATTATTATCAAATTGGTTTTGTATTATCATTCTAGGGGTAATAAGTAAAGAAATGATAGGTCAATTATTTGCTTTATAAAGCAGACAGTAGGTCAATTATTTGCTTAGAAAGAAGGCAGTAGGTCAATTATTTGCTTTATAAAGCAGGCAGTAGGTCAATTATTTGCTTTATAAAGCAGGCAGTAGATCAATTATTTGCTTTATAAAGCAGGCAGGTTTACATAAGGAGATTTTACTAAAACAAGAAGTATATTTAGTAAGTTTTTTAAGACTTACTGTGTAAGGTATTTGGCCTTGACGTAAAATAGCAAAAAAAAACAAGGACAGATTATTTGAAAAGGAGATTATGTTTTTTGTGTCGCCTCTACGGAGTAGTGGCGACATATAGGGATCACTTCTCCGTCATCTGTCTGTCCATCTGTCCGTCTGTCTGTCTGTCCGTCCGTCTGTCCGTCCGTCCGTCACAAAATTTGTCCAGACTACTGCTCATAAACTACTGGTGCAATTTCATCCAAACTTTACAGGAATGATCAGTACCAAGTCTAGTTGTGCATATTGTCAGCATTTTCTGGTTCAATGATTTTTGTCAGAGTTATGGCCCTTTAATAATTTTTAGTCCCCTACTGGTTTACCGGAGGGGACTTTAGGTTTACCCTCCGTCCGTCTGTCTGTCCGTCTGTCCGTCCGTCAGTCCGTCCGTCCACAAAACTGGATCCCGTGATAACGCAAAAAATACTGAAAATATTTTAATGAAACTTGATATATGGATAGATGTCAGTATGGAGATTATGCACATCTTTTTCTTTTCTTCCTATGTTGAAAATTCTGGTTGCTATGGCAACAAATAGACTGAAAATATGGCAAATTTTACACATAACCTGGATCTCGCGATAACACAAAAAGTACTGAAAATATTTTTATGAAACATGATATATGGATAGATGGCAGTATGGAGATTATGCACGTCTTTTTCTTTTCTTCCTATGTTGAAAATTCCACAAAACTGGATCCTGCGATAACGCAAAAAGTACTGAAAATATTTTAATGAAACTTGATATATGGATAGATGGCAGTATGGAGATTATGCACGTCTTTTTCTTTTCTTCCTATGTTGAAAATTCTGGTTGCTATGGCAACAAATAGACTGAAAATATGGCAAATTTTACACATAACCTGGATCTCGCGATAACACAAAAAGTACTGAAAATATTTGTATGAAACATGATATATGGATAGATGGCAGTATGGAGATTATGCACGTCTTTTTCTTTTCTTCCTATGTTGAAAATTCTGGTTGCTATGGCAACAAATAGACTGAAAATATGGCAAATTTTACACATAACCTGGATCCAGTGATAACACAAAAAGTACTGAAAATATGTTTATGAAACTTCACATATGGGTAGATGGCAGTATGGAAATTATGCACATCCTTTTTTATCTTCCTATGTTGAAAATTCTGGTTGCTATGGCAACAAATAGACTGAATTTCAAGATTTCTGATTCTAGTTTTTAAGTTTTTTCACTATAAGTTCTTTATTTCTTCAGGTATTTTCTTCAAACTTTAAATATAAGTTGCTTGTCATCAGCCACATCATAAGTGACAAGGTTTACAACTCTAGCACAAAATTTATCAGAATTACCTCCCTTGAACTTAAAATTTTCATGAAAAAAACATTGTTTTTTTTAATAACTTCTTTTTCTGAATGTATCTACTTCAAACTTCATATAAATGTTTCTTATTGTCTGTCACTCAACATTTGTGAGTGTTCAATACTCTAACAAGACTATTTCCAGAATTATGCCTCTAATGAACTTATACTTTTTTTTGAGAAATTGGTAATTTTTACTCCAACTTCTTCAATCATGATAGGATTTTAAAAATGTTATATTTTGATAACAGGGATGTTTAAAAAATAACTTTAGAGTGTCCTTCAGTCCGTCTGTCTGTACATAAAAACTGTTTCCTGTGATCACTTTTAAAGAACTTTTTCAACAAATTTACTTATGATAGGAACCTAAGTGAATGGCCAATGGCCCTTCAGAATGTTGCTTGGGCTCTTACCGGTAGGGGACTTATGGATTGCTTGCAATACTATGATAATTGCTTGTTAATTTTAACACTTGAACTTTGTCTGGAACATAACTCTAAAAACTATAAGAGATATCAAGATAAAACATTGTAGGTAGATAGATCTCAATGGGAAGATGTGCAGAACTTCCCCTTGCCAAATTTTATAGTTATTGCCCTTTGTTTATTTTTACATTTTGAACTTTGTCCGGGACATCACTCAAAAACCATAAGAGGTATCAACAAGAAACGTTGGTTGATAGATCCCATTGATTAGAAGTGCAGTGCAAAGAACAGTAACTCTGCCTTGCCGTATTTTGGAATTATTGCACTTTGAACATTTTCCAGGGACATAACTCTGAAACTACAAGATGTGTACTTTCCTGTGTTTAAAACATATTCAGGGAGCATTACCCGGCTCAAACGGGGCTCTTGTTTTATATGCATACATTACAATACATGTCAAGTTTGAATTTGGCTTTAGACCACTAATTTTTCAGATGGTTATGGCAACTTTTTTAATTGTTTAATAAATTATACTTGATGTACATCTTGACAGCAGTAGATCTGTCATTGAAAATAGAAGATAGAACTAGCTAAGTGAAAAAGGCACAGGAAATGCATGTTAATTTTTACTCTATCAGGAACATACTTGCATAAAGCAACACATAGAATAGTTAGTTATACTTTAATTTTAGAAAATTATAATTGTAAGAAGATTTTTTATTTGTTCGGCAGTTAACACCAAAATAAAAACAAACAGTCATTCAAATATTCAATTTTTTTTTTCTGTTATACAGCCAAACATGTATCAGCAACCAAACAAGGGAAATATCATAAATAGACTGTACATTAATAACACAGCTTATGAATAACCTGTATGAAAAAAGGATATAGAATAAAATTAAAATTTATTTGTCTAGCGTGTACTGGGAAAGGAGTGATGAATAATCCATTTATGTACAGGTCAAGGTGAAAAAGCCAGAAATATTCTTTACATTCTAGGTATTATCCTTAATTATGTTTTTGTATTAATTGCTGTTTAAATATGTTTATTACAGGTGTTGGAAGTGACCTTGTGTGCATGGGAGAACAACCATTACACGCTGCACCTTTATTTAAGGTACATTGAATTGTATTAGCTAGAATATTTGAAGAAAAAATGGGATATTCCATTTATCCATGCTTTGTTGCCACACCCATGGTTATGGTTTCCATGTATATGGTATCTTATCAATCACCAAAGATATTCGAATACTTGACACTTGACACATTTGAGATCATAATTTTAGGTCATTTTTCGTGGTCTATAACTCAGTTGTATACAAGATCAACCTCCATAACTTCCCATGAAACTTCACACATGCCTTCTGGGTCAAAATTTTAGATCTGTATCCAAAACCCATAAAATAACCATGTTTTATTGGCCGCGTTTTATATGCCCGTTTGAAAAAGGGGTCATATTATAGTTTCTCCCTGGCGAGCAGGACAGGTAGGCGACAGCCAATTTTGTCTGGAGCACATCTCCTACACTCATTGAGGAATTTTAATGAAACTTCATTTGAAAAACGCTTGTCTGAAGCAAAACTTTTACTTGTATCGAAGGATTTCAAATTTAACTGAGCACAAATGTTCACCTCTATGTGTTTGTCATTTGTTCTTCATGTTCACATTATGAATCTGTGTGTTTGGAAGTGTTTTTCATGTTTACATTATGAATCTATGTGTTAGGAATTGTTCATGTTCACAAAATGAATCTGTGTGTTTGGAATTGTTCTTCATGTTCACATTATGAAACTATGTGTTTAGAATTTGTTCTTAACGTTCACAATATGAATCTATGTGTTTGGAATTTGTCTTCTTTTTCAGTTCCATAGCAAGAATCATAAAATAGCTTTTGAAGTTGGTGATGATTACAACATTCCCCACTGGATGAATCACAGGTATTAAATAAATAAATAAATAAATAAATAAATAAAAAACTTGAGTAATATGCAATATCTGTGCTAAATGCCATCTTAAAAGCAGCACCCCCAGATTCACTCCAATTTTCATGAAATTTTGAAAATGTATCTGAATGTATCATATTGTGAAATAACCAAAAGGAAGCAATTTACACATAGTCAATGCCCTTATAACCCACGTTAATTACCAAAAAGTGGACAAAAATGCATAAATATCGCTTACTGCGTTAGTAATGCAGTAGAAATATAGTTGTAAATACTGAAAAATCAGTCATTAACCGCACATAACATGTAAAATATTACTTGAATCTTGGAACATTTTGGTTTTTCTAAAATTGTAGTACATATTTCTGAAGTATGATTTTATTGAAATATTTTGTCTCATCTGGAGGCATGCAGCTTTAAATAATATAGCCTTATAATATCTTGTTTGTTTGTACTACTGATTTATCAATAATATCATTTCTACATGAAGTGAAAAATAAGCTGCTTCTTCTATAGTAACTTCCATTATTTCTAAAAACAGTCCAAGGTATAAATACACTGAAATTATACAAATTAAAGTCCATGCTGTTAAAATGTTACTTGTTTGTTAAAGATATACTGTGTTCATCCTCGAGTAAAATAGTTTAACTATCAAAATTTATTAAAATCTATGAAATTCTCCCTGAATATATCTAATTTGAATAAATGAATGAATATGCTGTGTATGGGAATCTGCATTCCCTATAACAGGTCAAGTAAAATTAGTCTCTTTAAAAAAAACCCCAAAAAAACTGCCATTTTTTTTTAATGAGATTCAATTTTCATATTGTGACCACCTATATATATTGTGTAAAATTTTAAACATAACATATCTACTTTGTGTGAAGTCAGAACATGTTTATATCATATTTACAAAGAGACTGTGTAGCAATTATTAATATTTTGTTATATTATATTTGAGCATAGTATATCTTTAATGTATGGATCTCATGTTACATTTGTTTTGGTTAGTATTTGTATTTTCTCTATTTGTACAGCTTTTATACATCGAAAAACCAGATTCAGTTTTATTCTAACAAGACGTTTGTTCCAAGGATCAAAATTCCCCCAGAAATAGTGAGTAAACTCCAAAGATTATACAGACTATAATTTAAGAATGCATGTGGTTTTTGTAAGTGCTTGTAACTCTTATATTTCATTTTTTAGAGTCCATCATTATGGAATTTCTCTTCAGAAACAAATTTACATAAGAATTTAAGATGCAGATAGATGGACTGTTTGTCTGTAGTTAATTATGACTTTCTTTATCACATGCCGGAACCTGTGCCGTTTTTGTAACTGAAAAAATGGCACTGTCATGCTTATATTTTAATGTGACATCATTTGCTCTGTACAAACAAAGCATAAAGACATGCTAAATGTTAGCGTTACACTATATAAGCATCAGTGAAAAACTTGAATCATATTCTTTTTACTGCAAAAAGTTCTTATTTTGGATATTAAATAGAATATTATATTCCTTTAGCTTCACTACTAAATTTATTGAACTCATTGATTAAATGATATTTTATTTAACTCAGTAATTCAGTATTTAACATACACTCATTTAATATCCTTTATATTATGTTACTTTAAACATAAAATCTATCTATATCATGTGTAAATAAACAATATTTTGGAGGTTTAATCAAAGTGCTTGTTTCAATAAATGACTAAACAAAGGGATTGGGTAGACACATTGTGAGTCAGTGTGATTATAAATGAGTATATAGATTCATTTTCTCACTTATTTTTTCATACTAATGTGTGCCACATACCAGAGGAAATGACTTTCTAAATCTGTGGAAATGTTATCAGGGATGAATATTTCATCCTGAAGATAATACTGTTGTCATGGTAATATAGAAATTACTCATGTAATATATATTTCAGTTTGATAAGAAGAAGCAGAAAGAAGCTGTTGTAGAACAAGGTAGGAATTCATACAATGCAATTTTAGTTCATATGACCTTGAATGGTCATTTAAAGAAGAGGAAGAAAGAAATTTTGTTTATTTTGTTTCTCATCAAAATGAGATTAGTTATGTATTGAAATTAATATCCCTACATGTAGTTTCTCACTTATATATGACAGACACTTTAAAACTAGCACTCTGTGAAAGGTACCCCGCCCCCCCCCCACCCACCTCCAAAAAAAGACAAAAACCATTGCAGTTACTAAGAAGAGTTCCCTCCCTTGTCTTCTCAAATCATTAAGAATTGCCAACTATGACAATAAGGAAACAGGACAAAAGCCAAAAGGACAAAATCCTCTTGCATTTATTTTCCGACAAGGCCGAAAAATGCCAAATGCGAAGTTGCATGGTAAATATGTAAATTTTTTAATAAGAGGAAGACTAATGCCTTTTAAAATTGCATGCCTTCAAGGGAGCCAAAAAATTTATCATTTACCATTTATCCCCCTGTCGTCATAAGAGGCAACTAAATGATTGGAGTGTATGCATGTCTTGGGTACAGCAGGTGAGGTGGTTTTGACCCCTGGTGTTGCTTTTAAGTAAAGTTGTAACATCCCAGGTTAGCCTATATCATCTTTCCTGTTCCCCCCAGGTGCCAAATGAACTAAATTGTGTTGGCGCGCCTTAAACCAAACAGACAGAGACTAACAGAGAGAAAGATAGAGAAAAGAGGATCAATCATTATGCAGATGCTTATATATAAAAGTAGTGTATCATTACTTATTCAAAAACCTTTGTAGCTAATATAATATCTGGGCTCTTGGGATGATATTGTTAACTGTACTCTATATTGATTCTGTGTTCTATTTTTAGAACTGTCTTATGGTTCGGATGATGATAACTTCCCATTTGTAGACTATGATGAATATGATGCTCAGGTGTTTAAGTTACCAAGCAGAAATATTTCTAGGTAAGTTACCAAGCAGAAATATTTCTAGGTAAGTTACCAAGCAGAAATATTTCTAGGTAAGTTACCAAGCAGAAATATTTCTAGGTAAGTTACCAAGCAGAAATATTTCTAGGTAAGTAACCAAGCTGAAATATTTCTAGGTGAAATATTTCTAGATAAGTTACTCAACAGAAATATTTCAAGGAAAGTTACTAAACAGAAATATTTCTAGATAAGTTTGTATTAATTTTATTAACTTGTCAAGGACTTGTGAAACTTTGAATTTCCAACTAGTATCACCTGTTACTTGCAGACAGTTTATTATTATTATATCCCTGAAACGAAGTTTGGGGGGGGGGTATATAGGAGTCACTCAGTGGTTGGTCGGTCGGTCGGTCCAGCCGTCAATTGCATTTTCCTTGTCCGCAGCATAACTTGAAGACTAATGGTTGGAATTCAATATAACTTCATACAATGGTCAAGCACATTGAGATGAAGTGCAGAGCACAGAAACCATAACTCCATCTTCACTAATTACAGAGTTATTGCCCTTTGTTACTTTTCCTTGTCTGGAGCATAACTTGAAAACTGCTTGTTGGAATTCAAAACAACTTCATACAATGGTCAAACACAATAAGGGGAAGTGCAGAGCACAAGAACCATAACTCTATCTAAATTAATTAAAGAGTTATTGCCCTTTGTTACTTTTCCATTGCTTTCTTTTGTCCGGACCATAACTTGAAGACTATTGGTTGGAATTCAATATAACTTCAGACAATGGTCAAGCACATTGAGAAAAAGTGCAGTGCACAAGAACCATAACTCCATCTTGACTAATTACAGAGTTATTGCCCTTTGTTACTTTTCCTTGTCCGGAGCATAACTTGAAAACTACTGGTTGGAATTCAAAACAACTTCATACAATGGTCAAGCACAATAAGAGGAAGTGCAGTGCATAAGAACCATAACTCTATCTAAAGTAATTACAGAGTTATTGCCCTTTGTTACTTTTCCATTGCTTTTTTTTGTCCGGAGCATAACTTGAAAACTACTGGTTGGAATTCAAAACAACTTCATACAATGGTCAAGCACAATAAGAGGAAGTGCAGTGCACAAGAACCATAACTCCATCTTGACTAATTACAAAGTTATTGCCCTTTGTTACTTTTACTTGTCCGGAGCATAACTTGAAAACTACTAGTTGGAATTCAATACAACTTCATACAATCGTCAAGCACATTAAGAGGAAGTGCAGTGCACAAGAACAATAACACCATTTGACAAATAACAGAGTTATTGCCCTTTGATACTTTTCCTTGTCAGGTGCATAACTTAAATCTAATGTTTAGAATTCAATGAAACTTCATTCAATGGTCAAGCGCAATGAGAGGAAATGCAGTGCTCAAGAAGCATAACTCTTTGGACTTTTTACAAAGTAATTCAATAAAACTTCATCAATGTTCAACCACATTGAAAGGAAATGCAACATACAAGAACCACAACTATCTTAATTGCCCACAACCATAACTCTATTTCAGTTCTTTTGCAAGGTATTCTGTTACTAGTAACTTCCTCATTTCCGAAGCAGTTTTGTGGGGGTATTAATCACATTTAGTGATAGTTCTATTTTCATTTACTACAGCATATAGTCAATCAAATTTACAAACTATTTAGCCAGTTTTTGTCAGTTATTCAATTTCATCAGCAATTAAATTAATTAATTTTGTAAGAATGTGTATGTCCTTTCTACAGAAAGAAAATCTTATTCATTTCTAAGGCTTAGTGTGCCCTTAATTGATTGTTTTATTAACACATTAATTTATATCGTAACTTTATCAATTAAGTTTGTTATCAAATTCATAATTATTGTCAGTCTGAGGAAAGCTAGCAGCACAAAAGGTCCCAAGTCTGACATCAGGAAACAAAATCCACAGACTTTTCTAGAGGCTAAATTATTCCACATCCCTCGTACACGTCACACCTCTGATGATGTTTCATTGCTTCCGGTGCAGAAACCTGACCTGAAGCTCGGCACTTCACCGGAAATGTCGATACCTTCGGTGTCAAGTAGCGGAGATGACCTCTCCTCTTCCTTAGGATGTTACCCGATATTTCGTAAGTACGATAAGAACGTGTTTATTCATTTTAGTTAGCTTTATTTTAAGTCACTTTAGCCATATTCATAACATACAACGCACAGTTATAAAAATATACACTGTTATACCTTATATTATATCATCTTGGTTAAAGAGGCCTTCAGATTGTCATAAATATGTAATTTTTAGATAAATCATTTCATATGATTGTCAAATAAAAAGAATTAAAGTGGAAAATGAAATTTACCAACACAACACCAAAACGATAAGGAACCCCTCGATACCTCTAATAAACCAGTCCGCTGTCTATATAGTAAAGTGGACGATTTGTTACCCAATCTTCTAATTTTAGAAACCATCATCACTAAAGTGTTATAAATAGCTCTCAAAATGCTGTTTTGAAAAAGTCTTAACAGTGATATGATGCTACTTTTCCATGATAAAATTACTGAAATACTTAGTTTTAGAATTGTTTTTCCAACAGAAAATAATAGCTAAAGGCCGCTCTACTTACTTGAATCAACCAATTGAGCCATTGCAAACTCGTAGCAGAGTACCATCATCTGTTTGAGGGTTATGATTAACTTTCCATTCAAAAAATTAATATATTTGGCATTTATAGTTAACTTTTCTGCACTATACTTACCACATAGGTAAGTCCTTATTACTGTTTACATTCAAATTTTGTTAAAACAAAAATTAGAAAAAAATTAAATACATTTCCACTGATTTCTATATGTATTCTTCAGCGAAAAAACCTTTTGGTGCGTGTGACTCGGATAATGATTTACACCTTGGTTTGAGACCTATTGTTGGCAGTGCTGGTTCACCAGTGGGGCACAGAAACTTTCTTAACCATTACACGCGACATCGTGCCCTCATAAACCCATTTGCACCGTCAAGAATGCAGTTTAAAATGACATCTAACAGGAGAAGATGGATTCATGCTTTCCCAACTGGTATGTTAAATACAGTTCTTCATTCCATTTTTTCAGGTACATGGATAAATACAAAATGTATGTGTCATGTCTGGGCAGCTGAAATTTTGAAAATTATCAAAAGTTTTTATGCCCCCTATTTGGCAGGGTGAGTTGGCAGTGGGACTGACTGTCCCAGACTCACAAACCAGTGGAATGTGAGGGCATCTAAGTCCGCTAGAAACATTTTTAGTTTCTTGATGCTTTGAGATAAGGTTGATTAAAAACCACAGAATATTAATTGCAGTTAATTTCATTTTGAAATAAAAAATCATAAATATGTCAGAATAGAAGGCTCTAAATTTGGGTTTTATCATACTGCTTCTTTTGAAGTTATATATTCTGTACAAAGTTTTATAATAAACTTCTGAATTATAACCTCCTTTAAGCAGTTGATAATAAACTTCTGAATTATAACCTCCTTTGAGCAGTTGATAATAAACTTCTGAATTATAACCTCCTTTGAGCAGTTGATAATAAACTTCTGAATTATAACCTCCTTTAAGCAGTTAGAAACAAAATGCCCACCTTATCCTCAGCTTCAATCCTGACGGGGTTGTACAAAAAAACCATGATTTAAATATTACTATTTCTTTCTGCTTTGGATGACAAGACAGGAAATCATGTTAGTATGTATATAGGAACATTTCTGTAAAGTTTTTCATTTATCTTCTTGCCTCAAGAATAATATTGTAATAATAAAAGTGTTGTTGAAACTGACACAGATGTGGGTTTTTGTCGGAGCTCCTGACCGCCACCTCAACCTAGTACACACTTGAAAAAAAACTGTAAATATTTTTTGTTTATTATTATCCAAATACTAATCATAAAAACCATTCAAAAGGCTAAGCTTATTTGATTAGTATTTGGTTTCAGTTAGTATAGAATTCAGGAGCTTGATGTACACCACAGGTACCTGCTGAATCAACACTCACGCATCTATATCCTCTCTTACAGTTTCTCATTGTCTTCTATTATGAATGAACTTTATTATGTTAAAGACCCTCGTGGAGTGGCTGTACAGACACATCATGTCCATACCTACAGTTATAATGACAACAATGATCAGGAAGATGTTGACCTTTGTGAACTCACTCCTGAAGTCATAGAGGTAATCATTTAGGTTTTTTTCATAATCTTGCCTTTGAATGCTGTGGTGAAAAGCTTATGTCACCAGAAATAGATCCAGGATAGCCTGCACATCCATGTCGTCTGACAAGATGCTTTTAAACCTTTGGTTACTAAGTTCTGTATTGAAGGAGAAGATTGCTAGAACACCGGTCTTCCAGTTTAATTGTTTAACAAATACAATATGTACACATTGATATCTGGATGTTATTAAACTTAAAGAAAAAGATTTTATAAAATATTTCTGGTTTTATATTTCCTTAGGCTGCAGAGTTAGCTGTCAGGGCAAGGAAAGAATTAGGAAATAGTAAAAGTAGCGATAAACTTTCAGAGTCGAGCACGTAAGTTTCACAAATCATATTCATATTGTTATTATAGTAGTTGTAAGCTCATTTTCAAGGCCATACTAATATATATAGAGTGTCTGTTCTCAGCCACAATCATACTAGGTGTCTGAACTAATACATACTCTTATTCTGTCATTATTATATAAAATGACTGTGCTCTGTTATAGTGACATAAAGTGGTTTATATCCCTTCCTTGGTGTAGGTAGAAGACCATATAAACTGACAAATATGACTTTTAGCATAATTATGTACATATTCTTATACTATTATACTTAAACTTAATGAACATATAAAGTTTTACATCCAATTCAACTTACCAATGTTATATTTTTAACAGAATTGATGTTTATATTTTAGGCTAGATGACTTGACCAGTATGTCAGGGGCTTCTCCGTTACGGAAAGTAGGGTTACATGATCATGGTATGTGTTGTATATGTTGTTTTAAATCAGCATGCCTCCATATTCATGTTAATTTTTATGAGAAAATCTGTATGGCTTGTGAGTGAAAACTTCTATAGTTAAATTTAAGTAAGTCACAGTTATCAGAACTCTTATTTCAATTTCAGCAGACTTAACATAATAAGGATTTGATATACAAGGGTCACTGGTTCCAGCCTCAGGTTAGGCGAAATTTCCATTTGACTAATAAGCATGGACATTTTGTCAAATTGTCTTTTATCTCTGACCACTGATTCTGTAATCATTTTGAATAAGAAGTCGGTCACTTGGGGAAAACTTGTTAAATACTGGTAAATTATCCAGGAATGTCAGTTAGGTGGACAAACCGCCAAGATAAGATAAAAAATGTGTTGAAATTTGGGTTAAAAAATCCAACAAGTTTTATACGTAGAAATAAAAAGTATTAAACTTGCTCAGTTTAGAAGTCAAAACCTGATACTGTAGAACAGAATATATATACATTCATTCAGCATCTATTTATAGAACATCTTTTTGAATGTAGAAATAGCTATTTATAGAACATTTTTTAACTGCAGGTCGAAGCTTTCACAGGGACTTTAAAGGTCAAAAGTCATTCATGTGGGGTCCGACAGGTGAACAGGAATGGTCACCAGAACTTACAACAGGTAGATTTACTAAATTTAACATTCATTTAGTTGAAACAGATATTAAAATGTTCATATTAATACTTTTTACATTACATTTTTTTGAATGACATGTGTTGAATGCTTCTGATTATGATAACTGAATCCACAGCATTTTGATGCAAAAATGGATCTGATGATTAACAAAAAATTTCTTGATGTATATTTTATGCATTTAAAATAATTTGGTCACAAACAAGAGTGAACAGCATGCTTATTTGAAAAGTTTATTTTACTCCAGGTTCTTAACTGAATATAGTGGCTAAGTCTCAAGATTTAATTGTTTGAGATATTTTGAGCATTGAAAACTCCTGTAATTATAGTGACATTATGCTAATTTTTTCATTGTCAAGTTTAACTCAATTGACTATTTATTTTAAAGAATTGACTATGTGTATTATAATGATGATTGACCAGTAGTTGATAGTGGAAAATCTTTAGGATGAAATATGATCTGTCTAAAATATCAAGTGACCCCCCCCCCCCTCTTTTAAAAAATTTGCCCCTCTCTTTAATAAATTTGCCCTTCTCTTTTAAAAAATTTGCCCCTCTCTTTAAAAAATTTGCCCCTCTCTTTTAAAAAATTTGCCCCTCTCTTTTAAAAAATTGAATGTTACCGATACATTTTAAAATATTTTTGAAGTATAAGGCAAAAGAAAAAGAAAAAATTTCCAATTTTCACAAGTTCATGATAAAATTTTTTATTTTGTCTAAGGTGTTGTTGTTAATTTAATATTGACAGATGATTGTCAAAGCTTGGCCATCTATATCAGTCTTGTAACCATGGAATTAGTCAAGCATGAAATTTGATAAATATTGCTCAAGTTAGTTAAGTGTCATATCTGTTTATGTGATATGTTAACTGTGTAAGTGTAGAGCATATGTCAGTTACTGAATTCACGTTACTGAATTCACAAAAAAATAAGAACACATTAAAATAAAGAATCTTCTAAAGTAGAATAAAGAATCTTCTAGAAAGAATAAAAAATCTTCTAGAATACAATAAAGAATCTTCTAGAAAGAATAAAGAATCTTCTAAAGTAGAATAAAGAATCTTCTAGAAAGAATAAAGAATCTTCTAGAAAGAATAAAGAATCTTCTAGAATACAATAAAGAATCTTCTAGAATACAATAAAGAATCTTCTAGAATACAATAAAGAATCTTCTAGAAATCAATAAAGAATCTTCTAGAATACAATAAAGAATCTTCTAGAATACAATAAAGAATCTTCTAGAAATCAATAAAGAATCTTCTAGAATACAAGAAAGAATCTTCTAGAAAGAATGAGACTTAGATGCTAGTGTATAACATCCTCAGTTTCTAGAAATGTTCATGCCCTTATGGAATTAGATAGTCTTAAAGATCCTGTATGCAAATAATGCTTTTTGGAACTTACAATATTGTGAGCATTAAATTTATTATATAAAACCATACAAAAATTGTGTTACAGGATCTTTAAAATAGCTATATTGAAATGATGGACAACTTTTCAAAATATTAGCTAATCGACAGCCTTAGAACTACCTTTTAAGTTATTATAATTACAGTGTAACTTCCAAATTCCGGAACTTCTGAAATCCGGAAACTTCTAAAAACCGAACAATTTTTTCGGTCCCGACTTTTTTCCTTCTATTTTCTATTAATATAATACTTCTGAATTCCGGAACTTCTAAATTCTGAATTCCGGACGATATTTTCGTAAAATTAGAGTCAAATCAATGCAATTTTACCTCCAAAAACCGGAAATATCCAAAGGTGTGAAATACATTGTAAATCGAGAATGTTTACCCTGCAGGAAGATTTAATCTCCCTATCGATTGTTTACTAATTAGCGGTGATCGTGTAATTTGACACGCGTTAAAATCACAAACTGTGAAATGGTATGTTTGAAGTGATGGGGTTAATCAAAGTAATTTACGGCGGTCAGTTAATTTGAAGTGTTTATTAGCGGATTAAATGACAATTAATTGGACAATGTATGCATCAAACGTCTTTAGCGATTTTATTGCATTTGATGTAATAATTAATTAACTAGCATCGGACGATATGTAAGTTTATGCAATTAACAATATTTCTACCAACTGATAGAAATTCAAAAGCATTTGCAGGTAAGATAAAAATGTATTCTTTTCATTCACATCTTTACCTTGATTAAAAGACTATTATATATGATATTTAGTGATATTAAGTGGCTTAGTCTTGTCCACATTATCATAAACCTCTGAATTCCGGAAACCTCTGAAATCCGAACTTTTTGACAAGTCCCATGGGTGTTCGGTTTTCGGAAGTTACACTGTATACCCTTTTATTTATAGTTCATTCTAGTTTAAATATATTTGTTCTGGCTCAATTGTCAGGAATTTCATTGGTCAATATACATTCTATGCTAGTTGTGTCGCCTTGAAAAAGGTGACATATAGGGGTTACTTTTGTCGGCGGTGTCGTTGTCGGCGTCGTTGTCGGTGTCGTCGGTGTCGGCGTCCCCTTAAGCTTGTCCGAAGCATAAGTCAGTCATTATAAGTCGGATTGACTTCAAACTTGGTATGCATGCTTCTTACAATGACCCGAAGTGCAGTGCACAAGAACTGGTACTCTGCACTTCTTATTTTTTGAGTTATTGCCCTTTGTTAATTTTCATACTTTATTTTTGTCCGGGCCATTTCTCCTAAAGTATAAAATCTATGGACTTGAAACTTCATAGGATGATAGATCTCATTAAGAAGAAGTGCAGTGCATAAGAACTGGTACTCTGCATTTCTAATTTTTTGAGTTATTGCCCTTTGTTAATTTTCATACTTAATTTTTGTCTGGGCCATTTCTCCTAAAGTATAAAAGCTATGGACATGAAACTTCATAGGATGATAGATCTCATTAAGAAGAAGTGCAGTGCGCAAGAACTGGTACTCTGCATTTCTTATTTTTTATGTTATTGCCCTTTGTTAATTTTCAAACTTTATTTTTGTCCAGGCCATTTCTCATAAATTATAAAAGCTTTAGACTTGAAACTTAATAGGATGATAGATCTTATTGATAAGAAGTGCAGTGCACAGAAACTGCTGCTCTGCATTTCTTATTTTTTGATTTATTGCCCTTTGTTGATTTTCAAATTTCATTTTTGTCCTGGCCATTTCTCCTAAACTATATTGTTCACAAGGCGACACATCCGACTCGCGGAGTTCTAGTTTCTGTAAATCAAATACCTGAGATCTGAGTTAAAGCTCAGGAATATACTTTATAACCTTGGACCCAGTTCCTGGCTGTAACCAGCTCTGATGTTATATAAGGAAACAGGGTCACGACTCAATTAGGGCTCAAACTCATGATCCCTGGGTTGAGAGACAGACACCTTAGCCACTAGGCCTCTGATCATCTGTGCTTCATCTGAGACATTGATACACTTGTTATATTTATATCATGTCACTACATTGTCATGATTGATTTCTGTTGATAAAGTGCATGCTTGATAAATAAAGCTTTATTAGACACCCTCAGCTTTATCAACATATTAAAATAAAATAAAAAGTGTAAAATATTTTTAAGTTTTTGAAAATATTTAACTGATAAACTTTGAAACAAATATAATTTTTGACTATTAAAGTCTCTCTTACATTTGACTAAAAACGTTCGGGACTACTTTATATAGATATGAGCCTTGGCATATTACTATGCTCAATATGAACTCGAGAGGTTCTTGACAGGTTTTGTTTCATTTGAAATTTAAAGAAAGAAACAAATACAATGTACTAAAATTGAAAACATGATAAATAGAATACCAAACATGTGTCTGATATAATATTTAAAGGCTCGGCATGAAAATAAAGTCCTCGGCTGATAAATTTTGTAAGATCAGACACCAGCATGGTATTCTCTATAAAGCTGTCCATTGATAGTCTCTGTCAAGATCAATGTAACTATTTTTACCCTATTATTTCCAGATTCATGATTCTAGATTGAGCTGTTCATCAATATTTTATGTCAAGTAAAATGTTAATATTTTTAGCATAGTGATTGGTTCTGTTTCATGATCCATGTTTTTCAGCCGTACATTGAACAGAGTTATTACTTTAAGCTTTGTATCACGGTTACTAGTTCAATATTTATTTAATTATTTCAAGTATCCAATGAGCCACATGTCTCTACAACCCTTCATAATTCAATAACATTAAACATGACACAAATCCTCAGAACAGTCACCTCTCTACAACAGTCAATTTTGGACTGTCTGACCACTGGCTGTTGTAGGGAGGTTGCACTGTACAGATATGTAAGTATAATCAGGCTTTGATATTGTATTATATTAAGCAAAGTTTAGGAATTTCCAGTTCTTTTTCAAAAATCCAGTTATTTTTAAGCTTATGAGTTTTGGAATTTCCAGGACAAGATTGGCGCCCTCTAGATGATGCAGAAATCAATCAAGCGGAATCGCGCCTAATAAAGCCGATTCTGACAGCTGATATTGAAAATACACAAAACTTTTGTGCCGGCATAAGTAAGCATGACTGTGGCCAATTAGTACAGAGTGCAACTAACGTAGCATGCATTTAGTGTTGGTGTTGTTATGATTTATATGCATGGTCTTTGTATAATTGGGGAGTTAACGCAAAAATAGTCTATCTGTTTAATGATAAAGGCTTATACAGTAACTCTACTTTGGCGTTAATTTCCATTAAAAATGCATTCCTATGAAATCATTACTCATCTTTGTAGGTCTGTGATGGTTTTTTTTCTCTTTGTTTGTATGTTTGTTATTTTTTCCATTATTGTTTTTTGTGGGGGTGGGGTGGGGGAAGGGTGAATTTTATTGGAAATGATATTTATACACAAAACTTTTGCTGTTAACCAAAACCACTGATTTTATCCAAACAATAGACAACTCCCATAAGATAGCCTTTGGGTAAAATTTCAAAACATTTAATTCTTTTGCAAGTTATTAAAGAATGTTTGGGTCATTAAAAACCAACGGAACAAACCTACAAAGATAAATGACTTCAAAGGGCATTGGATATAAAGCTTCAATTTTTATACTTTCACAATTAATTTATCGAAAAGAATCAGGACAAAAATTTCTACAAAAAATTACATGTATACACGATGTTCACTTAACACAACCCCTGTCATTTCCCAACCGCACAGGAGAGGCCAAAGGGCAGAGCAAGGAGAGGTCACTTTTACAATTCAATAAAGTCACCTTTACAATCTTTTATTCAGTTGATATAATTAACATGCAAATATCATTATGATTTCTCTCCTGGTAAACTTCAGTAAAAAAATTATTCTAAAAATAGCATTTTTCAAGTGAGATATGCATGTTGACAGTCCAGTTAGCTCAATAGGTAGAGTGTTGGACTTTGAGTCATGTGACCTGGGTTCGATTCCTGGACAGTGCAGGTCACCTTCATTGTGATTGATCATGAAATCCTTTCTATGGTCATTTCCACTGTACCTCTGGCATGTACAGAAGTTATCAGTTCCTTGCAAAAGTGAAGGCAACTAATACGGGTAAACAGCTTGACAGCCTGCCCTGGAAGAATGTGGTGACTGAAGTGTGCTCAGCCTCAGCGTGGCTTACTGCCATAATCCGGAGTTAAAACTACCAACACCACCACTATCAGATATGTATGTTATAGGAAAAAATATTTTTAAAAAATTGAAGGAGAAAAATGAAATAAAAATTGAAGCTTTTTCCATGTGATATTGGTAGTCTTTTCTCTTTTTAGCTCACCTGTCACAAAGTGACAGGGTGAGCTTTTGTGATCACTTTTCGTCCGGCGTCCGTCCGTCGTCCGGCGTCCGTCGTCCGTCCGTCGTCCGTAAACTTTTACTTTAAATGACATCTTCTCATAAACCACTAAGCCAATTTCAACCAAACTTCACAGGAATGTTCCTATGGTGGTCACCTTTGAAAATTGTTCAAAGAATTTAATTCCATGCAGAACTCTGGTTGCCATGGCAACCAAAAGAAAAAACTTTAAATATCTTCTTCTAAAAAACCCAAAGAGCTAGAGCTTAGATATTTGGCATGAAACATCTTCTAGTGAGTGTCTACCAAGTTTGTTCAAATAAAAGCCCTGGGGTCAAAATTGGCCCCGCCCCAGGGGGTCATTGATTTTCCCTATATGCATATAGTAAAAACTTAAAAAATCTTCTTTTAAAGAACCCAAAGAGCTAGAGCTAAGATATTTAGCATGAAACATCCTCTAATGGGTGTCTACCAAGTTTGTTCAAATAAAAGCCCTGGGGTCAAAATTGGCCCCACCCCAGGGGGTCATTGATTTTCCCTATATGTATATAGTAAAAACTTATAAAATCTTCTTTTAAAGAACCCAAAGAGCTACAGCTAAGATATTTAGCATGAAACATCCTCTAATGGGTGTTTACCAAGTTTGTTCAAATAAAAGCCCTGGGGTCAAAATTGGCCCCGCCCCAGGGGGTCATTGATTTTCTCTATATGCATATAGTAAAAACTTAAAAAAATCTTCTTTTAAAGAACCCAAAGAGCTAGAGCTAAGATATTTAGCATGAAACATGTTCTAATGGATGTCTACCAAGTTTGTTTAAATAAAAGCCCTGGGGTCAAAATTGGCCCCGCCCCGGGGGTCATTGATTTTCCTTATATGTGTATAGCAAAAACTTAAAAAGTCTTCTTTGAAAAAAAAACAAAGCTAGAGTCTAGATACTAAGCATGAAACATCTTCTAGTGAGTGTCTACCAAGTTTGTTCTTATAAAAGCCCTGGGGTTAAAATTGGTCCCGCCTCGGGGGTCATTTATTTTCCTTATATGTGTATAACAAAAACTTAAAAAATCTTCTTTAAAAAAACTCAAATAGCTAGAGTTTAGATATTAAGCATGAAGCATCTTCTAGTGAGTGTCTACATGGTTTGTTCAAATGAAAGCCCTTGGGTCAAAATTGGCCCCGCCCCGGGGGACATTCATTTTCCTTATATATGTATAGCAAAAACTTAAAAATCTTCTTTGAAAAAACCCGAATAGCTAGAGTTTAGATATTAAGCATGAAACATTTTCTAGTAAGTGTCTACAAAGATTGTTCAAATAAAAGCCCTTGGGTCAAAACTTGCCCTGCCCCAGGTGTGTCATTGTTTTTAACTATATGTGTAAAGAAAAAACTTGACAAGCTAGACCTTAGATGTTTAGCATGAAACATCTTCTAATGGGTGTCTACCAAGTTTGTTTAAATAAAAGCCCTGGGATTTAAACTGGCCCCGCTCCGGGGCCCTATATACAGGTGAGCGACTTCAGGGCCATCATGGCCCTCTTGTTTATAGCTTTTTTTTTCTTTTCAGTCTTTACTTGTGTTTAATTTCTTTTCACTTTTTTCATTTGACACCCTTTCACAAAAGTGGTATCCCTGATTGTTTTGTTTAGTACTATTATTGTAATACATAATTTCATTTATAGTCTTTTTTTCTTTTACTCTTTATTTTTCTTTACTGGACTTATTTTACTATTTAATTTCAATTAAGAATAACTCTCTTTTTTTTCTAACCCTTTAACCCTTATGTCATCATATATTTTTTCACCTTATATACATTGTACCATTATTTTAGAATAACTTAGGCAACCTTATAACATTTCCCTGACATTGAATATATTTTATGTCTATTAACTTTTACAGTATCCTTCATAACAATAGATTACACTTAAAGGGACTCCACTGAGGTTTTTGGCATTACTAGACTTGAAATAAATTTTGATATTAATGTTCCATTTGATGTAGGTCTAGACCAATAAGTTGTGTGCAAAATTTCAGATCATTCACGCTTTCCGTTTTTCCAGAATAATTATATTGATTTTAAAAAATAACCAAAAAATTAAAAAGCATTGCAATGCTTTTACACAAATTGTTCTTTTAATAACAAGTAAAAATATAACTTTCAATTAAATTCTGTGTAACTATATTTCTTCATTATTAGCTCACCTGTCACAAAGTGACAGGGTGAGCTTTTGTGATCGCTTTTCGTCCGGCGTCCGTCCGTCCGTCCGTAAACTTTTGCTTTAAATGACATCTCCTCATAAACCACTGAGCCAATTTCATCCAAACTTCACAGGAATGTTCCTTTGGTGGTCACCTTTAAAAATTGTTCAAAGAATTTAATTCCATGCAGAACTCTGGTTGCCATGGCAACCGAAAGAAAAATCTTTAAATATCTTCTTTTAAACAACCCTAAGAGCTAAAGCTTAGATATTTGGCATGAAACATCTTCTAGTGAGTGTCTACCAAGTTTGTTCAAATAAAAGCCCTGGGGTCAAAATTGGCCCCGCCCCAGGGGGTCATTGATTTTCCCTATATGCATATAGTAAAAACTTAAAAAATCTTCTTTTAAAGAACCCAAAGAGCTAGAGCTAAGATATTTAACATGAAACATCTTCTAGTAAGTGTCTACCAAGTTTGTTCAAATAAAAGCCCTGGGGTCAAAATTGGCCCCGCCCGGGGGGGTCATTGATTTTCCCTATATGCATATAGTAAAAACTTAAAAAAATCTTCTTTTAAAGAACCGTAAGAGCTAGAGCTTAGATATTTAGCATGAAACATCTTTTAGTGAATGTCTACCAAGTTTGTTCAAATAAAAGCCCTGGGGTCAAAATTGGCCCCGCCCCAGGGGGTCATTGATTTTCCCTATATGCATATAGTAAAAACTTAAAAAATCTTCTTTTAAAGAACCCAAAGAGCTAGAGCTAAGATATTAAGCATGAAACATCTTCTAGTGAGTGTCTACCAAGTTTGTTCAAATTAAAGCCCTGGGGTCAAAATTGGCCCCGCCCCGGGGGTCATTGATTTTCCCTATATGCATATAGTAAAAACTTAAAAAAGCTTCTTTTAAAGAACCGTAAGAGCTAGAGCTTAGATATTTAGCATGAAACATCTTCTAGTGAATGTCTACCAAGTTTGTTCAAATAAAAGCCCTGGGGTCAAAATTGGCCCCGCCCCAGGGGGCCATTGATTTTCCCTATATGCATATAGTAAAAACTTAAAAAATCTTCTTTTAAAGAACACAAAGAGCTAGAGCTAAGATATTAGGCATGAAACATCTTCTAGTGAGTGTCTACCAAGTTTGTTCAAATTAAAGCCCTGGGGTCAAAATTGGCCCCGCCCCAGGGGGTCATTGATTTTCCCTATATGCATATAGTAAAAACTTAAAAAATCTTCTTTTAAAGAACCATAAAAGCTAGAGCTTAGATATTTGGCATGAAACATCTTCTAGTGAATGTCTACCAAGTTTGTTCAAATAAAAGCCCTGGGGTCATAATTGACCCCGCCCCAGGGGGTCATAGATTTTCCCTATATGCATATAGTAAAAACTTAAAAAATCTTCTTTTAAAGAACCCAAAGAGCTAGAGCTAAGATATTTAGCATGAAACATCTTCTAATGAGTGTTTACTAAGTTTGTTCAAATAAAAGCCCTGGGGTCAAAATTGGCCCCGCCCCAGGGGGTCATTGATTTTCCCTTTATGCATATAGTAAAAACTTA